CAGTGGCTGAGCCGTTGTCTCATGGAAATGCAGTTTGAAACTCATTAATAGGGTACCCTCTATTTTATAACTTAGAACCTCTGGGTTATCACTGATGCTTGCAATTGCTATGGAAACCGAGTTCATATGTGTCTTTCAAAGAGTCTGTTTTAAAACAAGGGGGAAAAAAGAAAAGGAAAAAGAGGCTTCTTAAAAGAATAAGATATTAGTACCCAGCATGCATACGCAGGTTCAGTGATGCAAAATCCTCTGCCTGCATGATGAAAACAATTATTTATATTTTTAGGAGCTAATAATATATAACCTTGTATTAGAGAACTCTGTTTATACTGGTGAGGAAGAATGCCTAAGACAGATTCTCTCCTGGCCTTCCCTCACACACCACAGATGCACATCCACAATTTCCAGTTTTTCCCAGACTTTTCATAGCCTGCATCCTTAAATATTCCAAAAGCCACTTCACATGCAACTCTAACTGCTAAAGTCCAATCAGTGTGGGTACTGGCAAAAAACTCATCCTCTTCTGCACTCCTACCCCACCATTAATGTGTATAAATACTGCATCCTGTAGCTGATAAACTGCCTTTTCCAATTTTAAAATAGTAGTGCTAATTTGACCAAATTTCTTATAAAAGATTTCTGGTTCTCTTCTCCCTAAATTTGGGTTTTATAAGCTCTATTCCTTATCTTTCTCCCTGCTCATATTTCTTCCTAATACTCCTAATAATCAAAATGTGGTATTGTGTTGGGTAAATAATAGCGTGAACAGTATCAACAGGAAGGGGAAGATTCAGCAGCCACCTGAGACTGGTGTGGGGAAAGAAGCCAGAGAAGAAGGGACGGGGTGGTTCACAGAAGTGGCACTTGAGTGATGTGACCCTACAGATGACATCATCTCACTGCCAAATCTCTGTCATTTAGTCTGCATTTGCTCTCTCCTACTTCTCACTCTGTCTCCACTAGACAGCCTCTAGCCCAAGTGCTCTCCCCAAAGATTTAATTTGTCACTAATGTAGCATAGGAGTTTCAAGACTTCCCTAGCCTTAGCCAAGTGTGAGTTGGGTCGCCTCTTCTTCTAGACCAGAACAAGTTTCAAGGACTAGGCTCCCTCTGTCCTTACTTTCAGACAAAAGGTACTCAGAAGAGTGCAAACTTCCTCTGAAGGCTGGTGCTCCCTTCACAGGCATCTGGAAACCACTTCTTTGCTTTCAAGTAGTTATGTAACCTAAACAAGGGCTCTTGTCCTATTTTAAATACAGGCATCCTTTTCTCCAGAAGGCTTCAGAAATGATTATTTCATAACCATACAGGTCTCCCTCCCCCGATCTCTTTGGGGACAGAGGTTGTGTTTTATTCATCTTTATTTTCTTAGCACCAGCTAGTACCTCTGACACATGGCCATGCTTGGTAAATATTTGTTCACTTGTTGGAAGTACAATTGAAAAACATGTTTCTTTCATTCAGTGGCATCTTCGTATGTGTGAATGTCTCCAGGTCCTTGCCGAGAATAGACTCAGAAGAGGGAATGGGAAGACGACTTGGGGTTCAGGGCAGTATGGCAAAGGGCAAGGGCAGTTCTTACATTGGAGAACATCTCCTTAGACCACTTTCACTTCACAGCTGTACAGAAAAGCAACCCATGCTACATTGCCGGGGTAGACTTGTGTGCTTAGGGAGAGGGAGAAGGAAGGCCTTCAATCCCATCAAGGGGCTGAATAGAGCCAGTATTTTATTCTAGGGAGAAGACTATGCCTGAGTAAGTCAGACAGGCCTGAGTTTGAATCCCGATTCTATCACCTAGCAGCTATGGATTTGGGGAAATTATGCAATTTCCTTTATTTTAAATCTCCTGATATCAAAAATGGGCAAAACAATACTATTTCAAAGGACTGTTGGCATAATTGAATGAGACAATTCTTTTGAAGTTCTAGTAGAGTGTCTGACGCATTATTTATACCCAATAAATACCAATTAATAGTAGTAGTAGTGGTGATAGTATTGCTATAATTATTTATTTGGGTAGAAAAGAGAACTATCTTTTTCTTCATCATTTCTTCTCTAAGATTTTGTGTCCTTTTTATGATAGTTCAGAGTTGATGACTTGATGAGAGCCAGCCATCACTTTTAAAGCTAGTGAATTTAACTCTCCATTATTTCTCATTATTTTCTCCCCTCCCTTCCCAAATCTTCATTTCTAGGTACCTCTTTCATTCCTTTTATTTTTATAATACCCCCTAAATCTGGATCATTCCCTTCCCAATCAATATAGCATACCATGTTCTTCATTTACTTTAAGGTGTGAATGGCTGATAAGCACCTACAGTATTACTTCCAAGTGATACTTGCACACAAAGAGAACAAAAATCTTTAACTGAAAATATTAAGATCCTTTTTACTAGCCAATGTCATCCCAACAATTTTAATAAAAAATAAAATAAATAAAGGCATAAATGGGATAAAGGAAAATGTTAAGATTCTTTGAGTTCAGTGTTTGTTAAATTGAAATTGCAATTAAAGGACCCAATTTAGTGGCCTTTGACTATCATTCTTTTTTATATCATTGTGCCTTACTGCAACATATTATTTAGTGTACTAATTAGAGGAAAAAATGTAAGCAATTTCAAAGTCCAGGGGGAAAATATATTTGCCTTAACCTTCAAATAGAATTTACTTACTTAACATTTCATTTAAACCATTATATGTCCCATGCTTTAAATACCCAACTTTGCTGAATTTCATACTGAAAAATGGATAAACAAATGATGACATCAAAGGAGGTTAGCCCAGGAGGTGATACTGACAAAGAATTGGAACTGAAATTGAACATTCTCAGATTCTTTTCTCCAAAGGAAATCGAGCTTAAATAATAAAGGTCTATTTTTCTATGCAGTCCAATATCATGTCACTTAATTAGAAAATTATGATTTGGAAAAAATATCTTTATGGATTACATTTGACTAGGATACCAAAAGCACCATGTATAATAGAAAAATTGATAAATTGAATCACATCAAAACTAAAAACTTGCTCTGCAAAAGTCTCCATAAGAGGATATGCTACATATTGTGAGAAAAGTTTTGCAGATCAAATAACTCTCAAAACTCAACAGTAAAAAAACAATCAAACTAGAAAATGGCAAAAGACATTTCAAAGCAGAGGATATACAGGTTGCAAATAAACACATGAAAAGATGTTCAACATCATTAACCATTAGTAAAATACAAATTAACACATCAATACAAATTTATAAAAATGACAAATAAAAAATAGTGATGATAGTGACAATACCAAATGTTGATCAGGATATAGAGAAACTGGAAAGCTCATATATTGCTGGTGAGAATGTAAAATGGCACAGACACTATGGAAAATAGTTTAGCAGTTTCTTAAGAAACTGCAACTACCATATGAGCAAGCAATTTTACTCCTGGGCATTTGTCCCAGAAAAGTGAAAACTTAAGTTCACACAAAAACCTGTACATGAATGTTCATCGCAGTTTCATTTGTAATATCAAAACCTGGAATTAGTCCTGATGTCCATCAACGGGTGAACAGCTAAACAAACTATGGTATATCTCAAAAGATTACATACTATGATTTCATTTATATAACATTCTTGAAATGACAAAATTATAGATATGGAGAACAGATGTGGCTATAAAAGGGCAACATAAGGGATCCTTGTGGTAATGAAATGTTCTATATCTTGATTAAATTAACATCAGTATCCTGGTTGTGGCATTGTACTGTTTTTGAATATGTTACCATTGAAGGAAACTGGGTAAAGGGTACACAGGATGTCTCTATTATTTCTCATAACTGCCTGTAAATCTTCAATTATCTTAGTAAATTTTTAAATTAAAAAAGAAATGCACACACATGCAAAAACCTTTGGGCTTACTTCTGTCTGTATACATTCAGGAACTATAATCATGTACCAGTTGTACAGGATTCTGTCACAAAAACAACTCAGTTGTTTTCTAAAAGCTAATCAGATCAATAATAAACTAATAATAGTAAGTTTTTTAGCAAGCTGTAAAACAAAAAGTTATAGACATTTAACAGTTGAATTCTACATCCTGACTATGGCACTTCTGTTGTTCAATCTATTTTCTCCATATATTAGAAGACTTAAGAGGTCATAATGGTTGAAAGAGATGACATTGTTGTAACAAATGATAGAATTTGAGAGAAGGAGGAGTTCCTGATGTCTTGACAATATGATATTCTATAAGGGAGTGTGTGTGTGTGTGTGTGTGTGTGTGTGTGTGTGTGTGTGTGTGTGTGTGTGTGTGTGGACTGAGAGGAGGACTGAGGAAACAATAGAGATTAAGACAATTATAAGAACTGACCACTAAGATAACATTAAACTTTTAAAAATATTGGTATAAAATCTACCCACAGAGTATACAAGAAACAGAACATTGGTGCAATTTTAACCTGATAATTCATGAAAAAGGAGCATTTTTTATGAGAAAAAGTTCAGTCATTTCCTTGTAGACAATGAAAGAAAATTAAAAGAACATTTAAAGGTAGACTAAAAAAATGCAACAACTCTCATATTCCCTCTCAATTAAACAGGCAAATCACCCAACCTAAAGTGTTTTTTTTTTACTTTGAATATTTATCAGAGTATATAACACACTGTCCCAACTGCATTTTGACATTGTAATAAAACCTTTCTTACAAAAGCTGATACATCTAGAAGTGAATATAAATTAGTCTCCTTTAAGCCCTTATCACATAAAAAGCTATATGTAATATATACATTAACCAAGTTTTATCAAAGTAATGTGGATTTGAACTGATGTCAGGATTTATATTTGTGGTTAAGTATCAGACAAAAATATCAAGCAAGCATTTTCCATTTAATCTATTATTTTCGAAGTTTACCATTTAATTATTGCAGTACAATTTAACTGATAGTATTTCAGTGCTAGAAGCAGTATATTAAAGTAACAGAGTGTGTATCTGACAGTCTCAGCGTGAACATATGTTTCCTACACATAGCATGACTGGGTTTGCAGTTCGTCACTTGCAGGACCTTCATCTGGTTCTGCAGCAGTCTTCTCTTTGTTGGTGACATGTGGACCTTCTTCATTTTCATCATCCAGTTCCTCACGTTGGAAGTCTTTCGCAATTAATTGCCTAGCTAATTTGATGTTCAGTCCTTCATTGTAGTGCAGCTTCCTTCTCATTTCGAACTGCCGTTTTTTTTCTAATTTGTCGAGGAAGAAGACGCTGCTGCTGTGCGCCCCGTCGCTCTCGGACTCCCCCATCTGACAGCTCGGCTCCGAGATATTAATGGCGGCTAATTTCTTAGCTAAGATGTCTCCAGTCATGTCTTGGGTAGAATCTTTTGTTTCTAAATCACGCACTGTATCTTCTCCACCATCTTGCATACTGAAGTGGGGAGTGCTGGGCTCATTTATCTTCATTAAATCATAGTCTCTGTATGCAAGGCGGTATGTCGCCAGGATGTTTGATTCGTCCCACTTCTGAGATTTTCTTCTCTCCACGTGGGTAGCCTCTCCAGACTGTTGGGAAGGGGCCGCTGCCGAGGCTGAAGAGCCTTTGTTCTTTAGTATTCCCTTGATGGGCCGGTGTGAGGCGGTGGAGGACGCCATGTTGGGGGAGTGAAGGGCACCCCCCGCACGAGGGTTGGGCAACCGCAGCCGCCCGCTGCGCTGCAAGCTGAAGATACGAAGCAGTTTGTCTCGACCACGGTGCCAACGCCCTAGAAACCTCACTGGATCAACGTCACAAAGGACGCCACAGTGGTCGTCGCTGCCGTCATTGACACCGTCAGTGCCTCACTGCCCACTCTGCCGTCCGTCTTGCTTTTTTTTTTTATTAGTGTAAGATAGGAAATATCCCTGAGTTGTACATGAAACAGGAAAGCACTGTTTTTGTGAATTTCTGTATACCCCGTCTGTGTACGGGGAAGCTATGTAAAATGTATTTCTTACTTGGGGGAGGGGAGTCAATGTCAAATATTTGAAAGCCCATATTTTGGAAAGATTGGCGGAGTTGGCATTAGGGGGCAATTCTGCTCCTCCCTCCTGTTGCCATCCATACCTCCCTCTTTTCCTATCTCCTCACACAACCCCTCACCCGCTCTCCTATTCCATTTCTGGGTTAATGGTCCCAATACCCAGCCACTTACAGTGGCTGGGAACCTGGGCATCAATTTCCGTGTCTTCATGTTTCTCATTCTCCAATCCAGCTCAAGTACTGGCATAAATATTTCAGGAAACTCTCCAATTCTATCTCTTCTGCCACCATCTTGTTTCAAGTCACCACTATCCGGACTACAACCATGGCCTTTGAACTGCCCCCCACACACACACACCAATAACCCTTCCTGCTGCCTTCTAACTTCTTAGCCAGAGTGGTCTTTTAAAAACATCCATCAAATCTTGCCACATCTCTCTTTTAAACCCTTAACATTTACCCATTTTCTTGAACGTAGAGACCAAAATCCAGAGGAAGCTAAAAATCAGCTCCATGATCTGCTGGAGCCTTCTTCTTCCAAATTCTCCCTGCTCTACCTCCAACTTTCTGTTCTGGCCTTTCAGTTCCAGGAGCATTCACCTTCCTTCCTATACCAGAGTCTTTTTCTATGTTTTTCTCACAGTCTGGAATGCTCCTTCAGATTTCAGCTCAATCATTACTGTCTTAGAAGGGTCTGTTCCCTAACCCCAGAAGCAGGTAGGCCTTCCTGTGCTTGTATGGCCTCTCTTATTCTCCTTGGGAGTTGTTGCATTTATATTATCTGTGTACATTAAATGGTAAACTCCAAAAGGTACAGGAAGGTGTCTGTTTTGCTCACCATTATCACCAGCTTTGCATCTTCAGAACATGATGCTGTACCTGGCACAAAGTAGATATTACAAAAATATTTATTGAATGAACAATAAATGGTAGAGGATAGAGAATTGGAAGAATGGAATGCATGAGTGGAGAAAAGGAGGCTCCAGAGCGTTTGCATTCAGTTACAATTTGTACAATCAGCCACATGGGAAAAATAGCCTATATGTGGAATTTGGAGGCTGTTACAAGGAGTGACTTTGGACCATTTTGTTCTTCATAGGCCTCATATTTCACAGACAGTGACGTTCTTTCAAAAAACAAAAAGGAAATCAAGATACAGTTTCACATTATATGGAGGTGGGTGCTGTGTACACACTTTCTCCTATACAGTTTCCCCTCCAGATAGCATTCACAGATTTTTTTTTCCTTTTGATAACATTTTGCTCTCTTCTCTCCCTCAAGGTCTTTATGCATTTTAGAACACAAAAGCAAAAGCATGAAAGAACAATAAAACTTTTACAAGAGTCTTAAGTACCTTAAGTTCAAGTTGTCCTGCATTCTCCAAAGTCCTACTAGCTTCAGGAGCTTGGAAATCACTTTAAAACTGTGTTATTCATCTCAGAAAAAGAATTTCCTAATACCATACTCTTTGAAAAAAGCTATATTGTGTGACGAGGGCTTTCAAGGATTCAAAAGCTGATATTCAAGGCTATAGGAAAAACCTCCGGTATGCGAGGTAGGAAAAAACAACCTTCATTATTCAGGAATACTCCAAGTTACCCTTTTAAAAATGAAACTGAAAGGCAGCAGAGACCAGCACAAACACAATTTGTCCTTCTGGCTGGTAAGTACAGAAGGCCCTTGTGCGTTTACCTGCAAACAGGATGTTAAGGGAGATGCTGGTTCCAGTGCATTGGGATTTTGCTTTTGTGTGTACACAGAACCCACCCCCATATACTGTGACCTGAATATACAAGATACACAATACATGAAGAGTCAGCGATTCAGTAGTCCTCAAATATTCTGACACTCTTCCTTCAATAGCACAATGACAGTTCATATGCTAAGGCAGGAGCACTGTGATCTATTCCATGGTCTATAAATAAAGTCATTTAAAGAATAAAATCACCAGGTATTACAGATTTCTGTTGCACATATTTAAGAATAATCCATTTTCACCTACCACTTGCAAATTATCTGCTTAATATAAGTTGCCCTAAGAAAAATCTAAATTTTGAGTTCTTGTCATCATATTTAAAAAGTCTCAATTTTGTCAACACTACTAGAAGCCTAAAAGTTAGAAAAGATCAGCAGTTTTTTCAACATTCCTCTTTACATGGTTCACTTGTTATTGCCCTAGGACTAGGGCTAAGCAGATATGTCTGAGGTTCCATCACACACGCACACAGTCCCCTAGGGCTAAAACTTTACCAATAAATGACACATTATATGAAATTAGATACAGGCCTAGAAACTCTTAATTTCAGCAACTATTTAATGGTAATCTATATTTCCAGTAGGAGAAACTTTGTTTTGAGTGAACAAAAAGTGGAGCTGTGCTTCAGTGGTCTTTAATGGGTTAATATTTGGCTACTACATATAAATATGCATGCTGTTCTATCATCAGTTTCAAAAAATACATTAAAAATATCACTGTTACTTAAAATGTTATTTAGTTCTCTGCTGTTTGCACAGGATCAGAATATTTTGCAGAGCACTACTTGTTAATCATGGTAGTAGATTGTGCAACAGCATCTTTTCTTCCACTGAGAATCATCTCGCTTCTATGGAGATATTCTCCAAATGCCATAAGTACAGGAGTTGGTTCAAAAGGAGAACCAAACCAAGATCACAGAAATTCTCAACCAAAGGTGGAAACACCTAAGAAACCAAGAGTTACCACAAACAAGGAAGGTAACCCAGATAGGTGCCATTAGTGAGAGATTAAAAAATACTGAGAAGGCAGTGGGCTATTTCAGGGTCAACTGTGCTGCCAGAAGTAGAGATTAATAGTTCACCCAAGTGGTATCTGAAGTCATGTCTCAATCCATCCAAGAATTGTCCACAGTATTTGGAGAATTATGTTAGATATTATGTGGCTAAAATAAAAGTGTTATTTGTTTTTGAATCTGTTTCTTGCCCAATTTGTTTCTCTTATATTTCAAATCCAATTTTATGATATTCTACTAAAAATCCCTATCTTAGATTGTGTTCCCTTAGAAGCTGACCCTGAGACAAGGATTCAAGTGCAAGTTGTTTACTTGGGAGGAGATTTGCAGAAAACACTGATAATAAAGTGAGGAAATGAGATAGGGAAGGTCAGGAGGCAAAGGACACATTACCAAAGCCCTTCTTATTGTGGGAAACTAGAACTTAATCCTGCTGGGAAACTCTGGGAGTCAATGTAGAAGAGTTACCCGCATCATCCACCTCCACTCATGAATGAGGGACCTAGAATTTCATTGTGCAATGATTTTCTATCTTTTTAATTATATGTTTTAAAGTAGTAAAACTTTTTTTTTTTTTTAAATTAAATACTACATAGAATTTCAGAATAAGAACTTATAAAATTGGAGCTTGGAAGCAATGGAATTGGTCTGTCTGAGTAAAGGTGGGGAGTTCTTACTTCTCTTGAGGCATCACAGAGACCTAAGGAGGGAGGCCAATTTAAAACTCACTGCAAGAGAGAGTCATTGCCCAAAGCAGTAGTGTTTGGTTACCCCAAATACTTTCTGAGAGGGCATTTGTTTTGAGAATGGGAGTGAGGAGTTTTTCTACTATAATGATTTAGACAAGCATATTCTTTGAGAGCAGATCACAAGGTAGACAGGACATCAGTGAGAATTTCTGATGTTACATAGTAAACATCAACTTGCCCCCTTCCAAGGGGATCATCTAGTTTTGGAACATTAAATGAAGAAAAATGTCCAGTGAGGATATCTTCCAGAAGTTATACAGAAAGTAATGTCAAAGGTATCAGAAACAAAGGTCTTGCAGGGATTTGATGAAGAGTTTGTACTAGAAAAGTGGTATTCCTGCTCCCTAAAGGGCACTAGGATGTTTCATGGTAAGGAAAATGAAAGCGTGTTCATCTTCCTGCTCTTGACCCTACTTGCTCAGCAAAGGAGCTATTGATTAAATAGAACACGCTCTTACCTACTATTTTTGTATATAAACATTATAAAATTAGATTCCAGGGAGTATTATTTTGGTTTAGACGGAAATTTTGAAAGTCATATCATCTAAGCTCCTCATTGCCTAGCTGAGAAGATTAAGGATCAGAAAGGTATGGTGGCTTACATGGATACTTAGTGGCACAGCCAGCACTAAAAAATCCAGGTCCTCTGGAACTGTTATGGCAGTTCACTTTTCTATCCTCTGCATGCCTCCTCTAGAAGTGGTGGAAGTCATGGATCCCAGCATGTGTCTCATATTCAAACCAGATATCTACACAAATTTAGATTAAATTTCCTTTTCTCCTCTGCCCCCTTGGCCTGCACCATTCTTCAATAGCACAAGCACCTTAAAAGAAGAAAAGAAACAGCAAAACCATCATTTTCAGAGGGGCTAAAAATATGAACCTCATGTCTTCTGAATAACGAGTTAAAATATGAGGTGTAAGTTCAGCTTGAGGCACAAGTGGAAAAGTTTTTGAGCAAGGAATCAATAGGCCAGCTGGCCAGGTTTTCTAGTTCTGGATGAGACATAGTCAAATTAGAAAAGCAATAATGTGATCTAGGGCAGCAAAATTCAATTTTGCCAGCAACTCTGAGATTCTTTGAGGCAGACCTTTAAAGATGACGTTATAGACAGA